CCTCCAAAAACCAGGATCCCAGTGGCAGGTCGAGATGTTTTTGTTCTAGGTGAGGACCAACTATCTGATACCCAAAGTGTCTCTGAATTCCTGAAGGTGGGATGAAACAATAGCCCTCTTGCTAGTTGATTTTGCTGTGCTATGAATACAAAGGGAAATGGATGTATATTTTATCTTCCTTCAAGCCAAGAAAGAGTTAAGAATCACAGGACTAAAGTATGTATGATAAGGATTAAAGATCAGCTAAGGTGACAATCTACGAGCCACCAGAAGCTGGCTGCAGTTGCATTTTGACCTGTGCTCTTGAATATAACAGGAAAAAGCTGTTGCTGGTCCAGACAGAGAGGGGATCACAATAGACACATCAGCTCTGCAGAGGGCACCGTCTGTTTTAATTACAGCAGACATGGAGGTGATATTTGGTAGAAATATAGAAGAGCATCCAGAGCCCATAAAAGCACAGGTGAAAGGTAAGCAGAAGTAAAGCCGTTCCAAAAGGGGCGGGTGGTTTTGTGTGTTCAGTTATAACACTTGCTTCCTCCTGCCATGGTCGCACTAAGAAGGGAAGCTGGTGGCTTGAGAGAGAACAGTGAATATTTGCCTAGATGATTTAGATCAGCTTTTATTTTTGTCTTATGGATGTTTCCATGAGGACTTTTCTTGAAAGCCAGTTTGAAAAGGATTCATAGAAACTTGTGCTGATGGATGTAGCCAAGGGACTGAGTTCAGTGATTTTATTCTGTGGTTTTATTTCTCTGCTGCAAGCCCTCTCTAGCCTATCTGTTTACTTTCTCAGCTGTGCCGCTGACACGACATTTCCTGGAAGTGGAAAAAGCAACTTTTGTGATGCTGTCCTTAAATGCAAAGAGAAAGATGGACATGTCTTGTTTCAAGTTGTTCTGTTACAAAAAGGGCAAAGCAACCCAGGCAAAAGTGAAAGTTGGTGATTTCATAGAAAATTACTTCTTTTTCATGAGTGTACCTTTTGTGACGTCCTTTGAGCCACTATCGTGTATGCAGTCAATATGTTTGCCTTGACATGTTTTACCTTGCACAAGGGAGTGTTTGCAGTGCAAATGGGCGAGGACTATAGTGAGGTATGGGTTTGTTTGGGTTTTTTTTACTTTGTCATTTCATTTGGAAATGAGCAGTTCTGGTCAAAAAAAGAAACTCTGGAAGAGCCCAAATCGGTGTAGAATGCCCTCTGGTTTTGGCTTGTGTTCTTCGATGTAGAGCAGGGGCAGGCAAAATACAGCCCATAGGCCAGGTGCAGCCCACCAGGCCATTCTATCTGGCCCACAAGGCCCCTCCAAAAAACAATTATTACTGACCCATGGCTGCCTCTCTGAAAGCCAGACTTTCAGAGGTTGCATGCCATCGGACCAGGTCAGCTCTGTGGAGGCACCGTGCGAGATAGCATGCAACTGAACAGCTGGTGAGTGAGAAGGGGAGCTCTTGCCTGCAGGGCAGGGGAGGTGAGCGTGGAGTTTATGGATGGATGTGGGCCCCTTGTCACATGCCACCCCACGATGGCGCACAGCGCCAGCCACCGGCGGCAGCAGCGGCAGCAGGTTGTAGGCCCTTGGGGGAGCTTATGGCCATGGCAGCGTGCAGCTCCAGCTGAATCACCGGCTCACCGGTGTGCACCTCCAGTCCAGACCAGGCTGGCTTCATGCTAACGCATGGGGCTTGCGGCACTGCAGACAGGAGCCATGCACCGTTGGGCTGGGCCAAACTAGCTCCATGCCTCTACATGGAGCTGCCAGCTCCATGCCTCCACGTGGGGCTTTCATGTGCAGCACTCCAGTGGGGAGCTGCACATGGAGGTATGAAGCCCATCCAGCCCAATGGCTTGTGGACTGGGAACTGTGGGGAGTTGCATACCATCGGGCCAGGTAGTCTCCATTCCACCACATGCAGATCCCCACTGGAGTGCTGGAAGCTGGAGGCACAGAGCCAGCCCAGCCCAGCCTGATGGCACGTGACTCCCGCCTGCAGTGCTGCGAGCCCCACGTGCTGGCACAGAGCCAGCCCGGTCTGGCTTGAAAGCATACACCAGTGGGCTTAGTCAGGTTGGCTCCATGCCACCATGTGCAGCTCTCGGGACTCAGCCAGAGCCACACACCGCCGGGTTGCACTGCCTGCCGCAGCCATGAGCACCCCAAGGGCCCGCTGCCTGCTGCTGCCAGCGGCAGGAGCTGTGCGCCATGGGGGGCATGTGGTGGGGGACCCCACACCCACCCACAACCCTCCCCCCACCCATTATGTTTTGGAGTAGGTAGGGTAAGCGTGATGTTCTAGCTGTGGTGGTCCAGAAATGATGCGAAGCAAGGATTTCTTAGGGTGATCTCTTTTATCAAACCAATTGTGTACCTGGGACAGAGTTAGACAAGCTTTTGAATACAAGGCTTTCTTCTTCAGAAGCAGAACATGCTTGAATGACAGGCTGGTTAGAAGTGTGTGACCAACTGGCTTCTTTTGTTGGGTCCAGACAGCCCAGCTTCCAGTGCTGTGGCAGTCATGAGGGGTGGTTGGGCCATGGCCTGTGAGCCAAGGTTACATATCGACTTTCCAGTGTCTTAAGTGGGTTTGGAGAGAGCACTATGGATCATAGTCATTGCTGCCACCCAAAAGCTGTCTTGGGAGACAGCGCAACTTGCTGGTCTATTATGCAAACATGTGTATTAGGTAAACACTCTTACTCCATAAGCTATTTATACTGAACTAGTTCAGCTTGTTTATACTAAATATACTGCTGAGCTAAAATTATATCTCTAACTCCAACAGGCTGGCTCTCTTGCAATATATCATTTATTGAGCACTTACATTCCCCATGTGCATTTTCCTTTGCACTCCAGCCTCAATTATCTTTTCTTTGTCCTCTCTCCATGTATCTTCCACAGTATTCTTCACCATCTGGGTAATTCCAGGCCTGGAAGACCAAATCTTTCCTGACTTATGGCAAAAAGAAATCCTGTCAATTGCCCTGGAGCTTTGTGTTTGACTAAGACAAGGATTGGATCACAGAAAATGAGGGTTGGAAGGGACCTCAGGAGGTCATCTTGTCCATCCCCGTGCTCAGAGCAGGACCATCGCCAACTGGATCATCCTAGGTTTGGCGCTTAATATTTTCAGGATTTGAACACTTTCAATAACATACCATATTACCCGTTTCACCCAGAGCATAAACACGATGCTTACAAGGTCAACATTGGAAGTATGGTGTTGCACTGTGTGTGCCTACTCACCCGTATTGTATACAGACTGCAACAGAGTTTGCCAGTTTAGTTGCACTTAATAAAGAATGAAAGCAGCTCTCTGCTCCTCCAACCCCACTATATGCCTTAACTGATACATTTTTGTCATCGGTCCTTTGCTCTCTGTTTTGGACACACTGCACTAACACATATGTTATGTACCTCTTCCTGGGAAAAAAGGTGTTTGGGTAAAGTGTGTGTCCTCTTACCCTCTCTTACCTATTTCTCTTTTCTTCTCGTTGTAATCCTGTACTGAACACACAACAGCTCAAAAGAATCAGCCTGTTACACGGTCTCTCAGAAAAGAGAATATTTTGGAACTCTGATAAGAACAATCAAATACGCATCTGTTGTTTGTATTATAGTTTTTTCCCTCCGTCTGCTAACCCCAAGGAATTTAAACCCAGGGCCATATGAGGGTGTGTATTCATCTGTGCATGCAATGTTAGTCAAGTAATCTTGGTCAGAATATATTATAGGCAGGGCTGGTAGCATTACCTATTATTAAAGTTGCCCAATACTTTCCAGTATAAGGCTCTGTTTTCAGATGCTAATCATTTTGATGAACTTGAAGCATTTGGGCTGGATTTTTCTATGCCTGGTGTCTGCCTCTTGATTGACTATTTCAACTTCATTAAAACCATTTCAGCTGCTTTTGAGAATCAAATGCGGAGACAATGTTGTTTGGCAGTGTTACATTCTGGTGACTTGTTGAACACTTTCATTGTCCACATGTTTTGGAGGAGGGGCTTGGGATCTGGCAGAGGGATGGTCTTTGTGTTGAGCACGGGGTCCCTATCAAATCTGCCCAAATTTGGCCAATATATACATTTTTGAAAAATTGCTGTCTACATAATGCTCAGTAGACATCTCTTAGATTTGAGCCGCTGAATTTCACTGTGCTGTATATACTACTGCCCAGGTCTGAGCAGGGCTTTCCCTGCAATTGCACCTCTTGAGTGCTGTGGGCTGTACGGGGCCAGGTCTGCGAACCGGAGATGAAGCAGAGGAACCCTCTCTCTTGTGCTCCCAATATCTGGATGTCCATGGCCTCACGTCTGTGTACCTGCTTTCCTAACTTGAACTTCCTAGCTGCTGCTTGTTTTCCTTTGCAACATTAATGATGCTCTCTTAATGTTATTGTTGTTTTCTGTGTAAAATATTCACTTTCTGATTTTCTGTGTGACTCATACTCTACCAGGTCTTACAGCTTGCATTCAATCCTTGATAACATTTATGTATGATCAGTACAATATTCCTATTTATACTAAAAATACTGGCATTATTCGTGTCATAAAGCACTGCCATTGTGACACTTCATTACAGTATACTTATTTAATTACTGGAATAGATACTGGATTTCATCTTGAAGGCTGCTGCACACCATTTGATCTATAAATTGTATTTATTTCTGGTAAGTCCTAGATTTTCCTAGTATTAGTTGATCATAAATTTTAAAATGAGGGTACAGAAAGAAAATATTGTCCCCTGTCCTCCCTTTACTCCCCCTAATTTATTAAGTTGTATTTAGGGAAGTTCATGTTTCAGTGCAGCATATACTTGAGACCACATTTTTGAGTGGGCATTATACAACAGGGTATTATACAAATTGTCCAAATCCTGTCATGTACTCATTAGTGCATCTGGTGGTCTAAAAGTGGCCTGTATTTCTGGGAAACTTGTCCTTCAATTATGGAAAGCTGAAATGAACTATGTCCTAATACATGTCCTCTCTATTTACAGGGGAGATACCAAACTGGCTGCAGGGGATTCTTCTTCGCAATGGTCCAGGCATGCATACAGTGGGAGAAACTCGCTATAACCACTGGTTTGATGGTTTGGCTCTCATACATAGTTTTACATTTAAAAATGGTATGCTTCTGGATAATATCAGAAACAGTTTAACCCACATTTGATCTCCTTAAAAGATCCATAATGTCTCTTTCTAATGGTGGTTTGACATGGTTTATAGTAACTGAATATTGAATAATTTCAGACTAGGAAATGTAAAGCATTTGCCTGGTTTTGTGTTCCTGTGAAAATCAGGCTCACAAGGCTCAGTTTGGTTAGTGAACAGCCTATGAAAGGGCAGGCTAGTGGCAGCTTTAGGCATAGCAGCCAAGAGAGAATGAATGGTTTTGCCAATTCCAGTGCAACTTCCCTTTTTTCTGGGGTGGAAGAGTTATACACCTCAAGAACAGAATCATAGAATCATAGAAAACGAGGGTTGGAAGGGACCTCAGGAGGTCACATCTAGTCCAACCCCTGCTCAAAGCAGGACCATCCCCAGCTACATCATCCCAGACAAGACTTCTAGCTGGGCTTTAAAAACCTGCAAGGATGGAGATCCCACCACCTCTCTGGGTAACCTGTTCCAGTGTTTTACTACCCTCCTAGTGAGACAATGCTTCCTAATATCTAACCTAAACTTCCCTTGCTGCAACTTGAAATCATTGCTCCTTGTTCTGGTATCTGCCCCAATGAGAACGGTCCAGATACATCCTCTTTGTAATCCTCCTTCAGGTAATTGAAAGCTGCTATTAAATCCCCCTCAGTCTTCTCCTCTCCAGACTAAATAAGCCCAGTTTCCTCAATCTTTCCTCATAAGTCATGTCCCTAGCCCCAAACTATTTTTGTTGCCCTCCCCTGAACTCTCTCCAATTTGTCCACATCCTTTCTGTAGGGGGGCCCAAAACTAGACAGAGTGCTCCAGATGTGGCCTCACCAGTGCCGAATAGAGGGGAATTATCAGTCTGTTGCACCAGCTACCCGTGGCTCCATTGTGCTTTTAGAAAAGTTAGAGGTTGCTGCGTATCACAAATGCCCAGTTATGCCCCTTTCTTCCAGCTACAGCCCTTCTCTGCAGGGACAGCTGCTGTAAGGGCATTGGATGATTCCTGTACCCTGGAGTAGTTTTTCTAGACCAGCTATCCTGGCTTCGGGTCAGTGTTGTGGTGGTGGGTCATACATACAGGCCTTGATTCATTGGAAAACTGAGCTTGGTAGGTACTAATCGTAATATTGCCACACTTCAGTCCACCATTTGTTTCCGTCAAGGATATTTCATCCATTAAAGGGGCAGATCTTTCAGCCCTTCCTGAGACAGATTTCAATGGGAGTTGAGGCTTCTGAGGCTCTTCCATAGGATTAATCCTGTGTTACTACATCTGCAACAGCGTAATACAGAATATTTACATCATGGGTGAAATCCTGGCTGCTCTGAAGGCTAAAGTAAAATTCCTCTTGACTTTGGGATCAGCATTTCACTCTAGGGCAGGATTTCTGGTTGATGGGTCCCACTACAGTGATTTGGAAGAGATATAAAAGCAAAGAGCTGCATTTCTGCTGTATAACTCCCTGGAAGAAATGGAGTAGCTTCTGTGTGTACTGTGCATCTGGGACTTATGCAGACTTCACCCCTACTCTTCAATCAACAGCTGCAGCACCCCATAATTCCCAACCAAATTAGTAATGCACTAGTAAAATTAGGTTTTTTCCAACGTGGGCAAACAGCCTGGTTTCACTGAGGTGTTAGGCTTCCTTTTGGGAACTTGAATCTAGTTATGACAGAAGGCAAGAGTGAAACTAGGCTACTGTGCTATTTAATTTGCAAATCAGGTCTCTCATGTATACTTAATGCACTTAAAAACAACCTTTAGATGAGCGGCCAAGCCCAGCTTGCTACACGTATATCATGTGAGCCAGACATGGCTCTGACAGGATATTGTCAAGAGACATTTCCTCCCTCCATGCATTTCCCTTTTATTCCACAGTTTGCCATAAAATAGGGAGATTGAACATTACTGGTGCGTCCATCTGCTTTATCACACTGTGGGATCTTTTCCATTATGTCACGTCTATAAGAGATTTTTTTTTTTTTACCTGTTTATCTTTCAGTTTCCCTTGCTGAGCCAGGACAAATTTTGTGAGAGATTCCAGACACGGGTCTCCTGCCTGCCCATTCCTATGCCTCTTAAAAACATTGCCATATAAAGAAATGGCCACACATTGAAACTACCAGGGTATTGCATTGCTTCCACAAACGGGGCTCTGTCTTTTAACCATCTAGGTGCATATGCATAAAGTAGTTTATCCACTAATTCCTTCAGGCATAGAAGGATACTAATTTTCACAATCTGACACAAATGGGTCAGGAAAGATTTCTCCCCACCCTCCTGCTTATGACAGAAGACATATAGGTTATGGGCAACGCAGTCTAGCTGTGTAATTAAGCTGGGTGGACACAGCACTAATATAGCTCTACTGCTTCCCGTACCTGAGCTGGCTTGTTCAGAGCTAATTCAGGTGTCTCTACACACGGTACTGCATTGTGACATACCCACATGTTGTGCCGCTGCAGGTAGCGTGGGCTGCTGATCAGACATTTCCCTGTCTCTGCTACTGACTTCTTGTGTGATCATGGGAAAGTCCTTTCACCTCTGTGATAGTTTCCTTTCTATAAAACAAAGTTAGTAATCTGCTTCTATTTTAGAGAGGTGCTGTGAGGCATCCGTGTTCGTCCAGTGTACTGTTGAGATGGCAAGGTGCAGCTTTACATCACCATATCTATCTGAATGGTGTAAATGCCAGTCATGGAGAGGGTGACTTTAGGAACAAATGGTTTGACTGGCTTAGAGATGGATTTAGTGACCTACCAGGACTCCATCCTTTCTAGCTGGCAGGCAGCCCTCAAGAAGAATTGGTGTGTGAGAGTTCAATTAAATGTTCTTTACAATGATCAAAACAACAACATGGATTATTTAAAGAAAAAGCCAAAGTTATTTTCTTTTCCGTAAAGTTAAGTTTAATTTCTCTATTTATCATAACCAACCCTGTAGAAACTTGAAACTGACCCTTAATTCTTCCCCTCCATCTTATATAAGCACATGCAGAAATGTGAATGCAGGTGTGTTGTTAAGGGTTGGTCTGTTGGCACTGTTTGTTTAAAATCCTCTTCCCAATGCCCCACACAAACCTTTTTCCTTGGTTTTCAATATTTTCAGTAAAAATGTGGGTCTATCATCTTTGGCAGCCCATAAGTATGAACAATGTGAATACAACCCTGCGTTCCTTTGCACGTTTTCCTGAAAATTAGGAATTGGTAGCCTAGCAGAGTGCATTGAGAACCTCTGCTTAGCCAGAAGTCAGCTGGATGAGATTCTCTTGCAACTTCTTTTATCTGAGAGTCAGTCTGTCGTAATACGCTGATAATTATTTTCCATAGAAAATTATGGAAGGTGTCAAAATACTGTATTTGTTCCTTGCAGGTGAAGTTTACTATAGGAGTAAGTACCTGCGCAGTGACACATACAACAGCAATATAGAAGCCAACAGGATTGTGGTATCAGAGTTTGGAACTATGGCTTACCCTGATCCATGCAAAAACATATTTGCCAAGTAAGCAATGTTTTTCCCAATGAATGTCTCCATCCTATTTCTAACATAGAAGCGTTTTTCTTCACTCTGCACATACATACCTACTCTGAGATTTATTTTGCAAGATTAAAATTGTCCTATCCCTCACAATTCCAGGAGTTTAATTCAGGTGTTGGGTTTTTTTTTAAATGAAAGGAAAATTAACCAGTGGTCATGTCAGAGGGACAATTCATCCATCACTTCCTTACTGAAAATGCTGTAAAAGTTAACAATATTGGATTGCCTTTCAAAATGTGGTGTCTGATTGCATGCAGAAGTATGCATGCTTGAGACAGGACCTGTTACTATGTATGTTCTCCACAGTGGCAGCAGGACTGGTCCTGTAATTAAATACATGCTTCTGCATACAAAAGCAGCAACTGTGTGTGTCCATTTCAGGATAGATTAAGAGCAATTTGAAAATATTGTGCTGGTTTGCTGCCCCATCAGCCAGTAGAGGGAGTGCTAGTTAAGAGATAAACCCACTTCCTTCCACTAGTTGTGCAGCATACTGGTCATATCCTGCTTTAAGGTAACAAATAGATCCATGATAACTTCAGCAATATGCTAAACGATTTAAATACCCGCTCTTCACAGACCCTCATGTGTTTATATTGCATCTCCTCCACAGAGCATTCTGCTATTTGTCCCACATCATTCCTGAGTTCACAGACAACTGCCTGATCAATATTATGAAAACTGGAGATGAATTTTATGCTACAAGTGAAACTAACTTCATTAGAAAAATTAATCCTCAGACACTGGAGACACTAGAGAAGGTAAAAATAAAAATGTATCCGTCCAGTTTCTCTGCTAACAAATACAGTTTCAGGCTGATCTTTCCAGCTGGGCTGTCAGGTTTAAGGAGGCCAAATATGACATAATTGGAATCAGGAAGGTTAAAGGGTGAGAACCAAAGAAGGATTTGGGGATCTCCAAGTTGGCACTATAACTATTAATTCCTAGGAACCTAGTCCTCAGGGTGGCTAGAGTTAGCTGGGTAGGCTCCCTGTAGGGTGCAGAGAGAGATGCAGACACCTCGGCAAGGCAACCTACAAAACCTGCTTTCTGATGGGAGCTGCCTTCATCTCCCCAAAAGAGAACCTTTAGCACAGAAGTGTACAAGAAATCCCGCCCTTGCTAAATTAATGCAGCTGAAGTTGCTGACTTAGGGTCAAGTGGTTCAGTTGTAACATCACTTCCTCACGTGTTGTAGACTGAAATACCTTATGCTAGGTGAGTTCTAATTTCTTAGAAGTTTTCTAAGCTATGCAGAACACTGCTTTTAATTCCATCTTTTCCAACTCTTAAATAGCTTGGAGACCTAATCTTTCATGAAATTTCCTGGCCTGATGGCCCAACTGAGTGCAGTTGTTTCAGTATGGGATGGTCAACAGCACAAGTCCCTTTAATTATTACATGAATCTTCCAGTGTGACAAGATGGCCATTAGGACCAAGACTCATATTTCAGCTTTGTTGGCCTGTTCTGGTCCTGAATCAGTTAAACATTAATGTGCCTATTAAATCCCAGTGATTTCAGTGTTTGAATTTAAAGTTAGGACATTAATCCTTGGCTTCCCTGCCAAGAGAGCCTACTAGAGCCAAACAGAGGCGTGGTTTCTGTGATTTTGGCTAACATCATTCTTTTCATGTTCTCCTTCTTCATCTCTGCTACCTGCTGTTCTGCGGTTTTGTAGGTTGACTACACTAAGTATGTAGCTGTCAATCTGGCAACCGCTCATCCCCATTACGACAGTGCTGGAAATGTTCTCAACGTGGGCACATCCATAGCTGGCAAAGGGAAGACAAAATATGTTGTATTTAAGATTCCTTCCTCGGTGCCAGGTAAGAAATGGCTTTTGCTAGTGTTTTTTTCCCCCTGCTGATGGGAAAAAGGGAAGTAATATGCCACAGATGCCCTAGAAAAATCACTATTTTTATGTACATATTGTTAATTTGTGCAGTTAACTCTCACTCGTCACTGTTAAGGTGACAAGTGGTAAATAACTGCATAAAAATACCATTTGAAAAGAACTGATCAGACCCAAGTTCATTATGAAGCCAGACTGGCTATTCAGAGTGGAGCAGTTTCATTTCAATCACTATCTGGTGGATGGACTGAACGTTGCAGTCTTCACGGGTGCCAAATTCCCTGCCAAGCCTGAAGGTGGAAGCAAACAATGCCTCAATGGAAAGATGCACAGGGAACTCTCTGAGTGGCAACTTGCTGTATTCTGCCCCATATGGGGACATATAATCGCATATAGCCAATGGTGAGAACTTGACATTCACTTGGGCTTGATTAAAGTCTCGTCTTTCTTTTTAAATTTGTGTTTAGAGGGAGAAAAGAAGAAATCTTGTCTGAAGCACCTGGAGGTGATGTGCTCAGTTCCTTCCCGTTCTCTCCTTCACCCAAGCTACTATCACAGCTTTGGAGTCACAGAAAACTACATTGTCTTCATAGAGCAGCCATTCAAACTGGATATTCCCAAACTGGCAACAGCCTACTTCAGAGGTGTCAACTGGGCTTCCTGCCTTTCCTTCCATAAGGACAACAAGGTACTTTTCTGCTAAGATATGAGCAATGGAGGAAGCCACAGCAATAGTTACTTTCACTCCCTCCTCATTCTTCCCTGCAGTACAATAAGCTAAACAGCTTCCCAGTGGACAACTTTATTCTCTCCTAATTCCACCCTCTATTCAGATGTTGCCACCTCACGCAACTAGAAATACCATAAATAAACCTTTGGCGCTGAACCTAATAGTATTTGACAAAGACCCCACACCAGCAAAGAAACTTTGCTTCTTTGAAGGGTCCAGATCACAAGGTACCATCATCATGGATCACCATGCTTTGAGAGCCTCATAGCTGTTCTTACTTTTTATTGCACATTAGGTAAAAGAAACAGGCTCTTCAGCTGGGTCTGGATAGTAAACAGCTCTCAGTGGCAGTGTGGCTACATTTGTGCAGCAGCATAGGCAAGCAAAGTAGCTCAATGCAAGCTCATGAACCCTGTCACTCAGCAGTGCTAATTAGCCTACCCAAAGTGCCAGGTGGATGCAGCTACCCTACCCAGCAATAGTAAATGTAGCAGGTAGGCAAGGCCTGGAACCAGCCAAAAGGGAGCTTTTCCAGTTCAGGAAAGCATCTGGAGGGGCAGGTCAGTGGTGGGACTGCAGCATGTAACACTGCAAAGGTTCTGGGCTTGGAAGCAGGTAGGGACAGGCTGCTGTGATGGCACTGTCTAAGTCCCCAGGACGGCCTAGTCAGAAGAGTACAGAAAGTAATTGAAAGCTGTCTTCATCCCCTCCCCTAGTCTGCACACATGCCATGTCCCCAACAGTGTTCCTGGCACTGCTCAGGGGTGACCGCTCTGGAGAACACTGCTCCTGCTTCTACCTACCAAACCAAACCAGGCAACGCAGCAGTGAAGCTGCTGTCAGGATGCCCATTTTAAGCCACCAGAGGGCACTCCTGGAGTGGCTTCACCATCATACTTGGGGGTTTGGTATGTTTGAGCAGGAATTGATACGGAGGCCATGCTGAGGAAGGTGGTTCTCTATTTCTTATTATTTTGTGGCACATCCTGAGGCTTGCACATACCATTTTTTTAAAGCAAATGAGCTATGATCTGGGTGGAAACATCTCTGCAATGTTACGCCAATTTAATGAATAACCGCTTCCTGCTTACTGACCCACATGTTGGCCATTTTTCAGACCTGGTTTCACTTCATAGACAAAAAGACCAAAAAAGATATCTCCACCACGTTTTATACTGATGCCATGGTCCTTTTTCACCACGTGAACGCCTATGAGGAGGACGGCCAGATCATTTTTGATGTCATTTGCTATGCAGATAGCAGCCTGTATGAAATGTTCTATTTAAAATACCTGAATGCAGAGTTTGAAGAAAACACCAAACACTTTTCCCTACCAGCCTGCAAGCGATTTGTGGTTCCTCTGCAATGGGGCAAGGTAACATGACTTGCTTTTTAATCTATTTTCTTTAAGCAATAACTTTGAATAAATGAGTAAGTGAAAAAACAGTGAAGTAGAGGTTGCCAGTCCTCCTAAAAATTCCTCATGTTGTTTTTTTATTTTATACACACTCTTTTTTTTTGCATGTGTATTGGAGGAAAATGTGTGTGTGATTCCTTTTCCCTCACTACATTTGCACAGACTGTGAGCAGATAAGGCACAGAAGGCGTATGCACATACATACATATATGCGCACACACTCACAAATAAGGCCAGAGCTGAAGGACTTAAGTTACCTCAAAATCAAGTGCCCCAATGCTCTACTTTTAGCTGCCTGATTCTGAAGTAGGACCCAAAGCCCAAAGTTAGGCATGTAGGCTCCCTGTACAATGTATGGGGAAAGTTAGATGCCGTAGAAAGGCAATTCACAGAATACATGCTCCAAATGGAGAGTTGCCGAGAGCTGGCCAGCAG